AAAAAGTAAAATAAATTACTCTCAAAATCTGAATTAGTAAAAAAGTTTACTAATTTGACTTATTAGTGACTGACTTTTTGCTTTTCAATTAGTAAAATTTTACTAATTATTAGTAACTTTTACTAAAAATTAGTAAAATTTAACTAATTCTAAAGCAAAAAGTGAGTCACTAATTTAAATTAGTAAACATTTTTACTAATTCAGGTTTAGAGAGTAAATAATATTTTTAATAATTTTTATATTTTTTTAAAAATAATTATATTTATAAATCTTTTTTTTACTGTACTAAAAAAAATTATTTAAAATTATTTTAATTATAATAAAATTATTAAAACAAATATTAACTTTTATTAATTTACTATTTAATCTAAATACACCTTCGGGTAAATTTACTTTGTTACGACTTATACTTAACCTAATTATATTTAATAATTCATTAAATTGACGGGCGATTTGTTTATATTTTAATAATAAAATTCAAATTAAATAATTATTTAATTTTACTTATTTAATTCTATTGAATTTTAATATTAAAATTAAAAATTTTTAATTTTTATTGTAATTCAACTAATTCTTAACTCAATTCAATATTGATTTGAATATTTTCCCTATAAACGTATATAAACAAATAAAAATTATTTTTATAAAAACTTTTTTCAATATAAAAATGTACAAAAATAAAAATTTCTTATCGTGAATTATCTTTCAATTAATTAATCTTTTAATTTGGTGACTCACTTTTAGAAAATAATTAAAATTTTTACGTAAAGAATATATAAATATCAAATTTTATAAAAGCATTTTCAAATTTTGTAAAAGTATTTTCAAGTCGTGGAAAATATTATAAAAAACGAATTTTCCATATATAAGAAATAGTAATCTTTAATAAACTTTTATGAAATTTACTGTATATATATAGTTATAATAAAATTTGATAGAACGTATTTAATTCATTATTAAATGATACTAAAATTTATTATAACTATTAGTAAATTTCATAAAAGTTTATTAAAGATAACTATTTCTTATATGGAAATTTCGCTTTTTGTACAATATTTTCCACGACTTGAATATACTTTTACAAAATTTGAAAATGCTTTTATAAAATTTGATATTTATATATTCTTTCCCTGTAACTCAGATTTAGAGAATAATTTTTTTTTTTTTTAAGAAAAAAAGTTTTTTTCAATCAATTATAAAATATTGATATTTACCATTGTACAAATTTTATTTTGATATTGCAAATTTATTTATTCGAGTAAATAAAAATTAAAATGACGTGTAGACAACTGGGTATATAGTGGATTTAGAAAAAGATTGTTAAAACAAGAGAGAAAGAGAGATAGAAAGAGACAGGAAAATTCAAGCCTATTCAAAAAAAAAATATATATATATATATATATTTATATGTTGAGCAGAAATGAACAGAAGCCCGAGCAACGAGCATTAAAATTAATGAAACGAATAGAACGCGCGTTTTAACGAAATGTGTATGGGTGATCAGACGAAAGTTCGTTCGAACGTAAAGCTGGGATTTTAGTTTGTAAAACACACATATTCATACAAAACTTATTTTCACAACCCTTTTTACTCTTTATTCTCATATACTCAAAAGATCAAATAAAACATACATGTCTAAAAATTTTAATTTTGAAAATTCAAGGTGTCTAACAACTGCTAAGAAAAAAAATTCCCTGACTTTTCCCTGACCTAAATTACACTAAAAAATTTTTATTTTTATTAAATAAAATTTTTTTTTTATACAATTAAATCATTTACCTGTCTATTATCCACTAATTTCATATGTATTTGAAAATTTGAACCAAATTAATAATGTTTTGTAAATTTCGATTTATCAAAATATTTATTTAACAGAATTTTCATTGAATAAATTCACAATTAACAGAATTTCTATTTAACAAAATTCTTAATTAACAAAGTTTTTATTAAAGAAATTACCCAATCAAAAATTTACTGCTGGCGCAGTACTGGCGCAGTACTGGCGCAGTACTGGCACCCTGTATTGACGCCAGAGTTGGCGTAACTTTGGGATGATAACATTTTACCAGTATTGGCTACCAGAATTGACACCAGTACTTGTAACCACTGCTGGTTCAGTACTGGCCGAGTACTGGCAGTTTTGTAATTTATTGTATACGAAAAGAAAACTTTAACTGTAACAGAGATAAGTTTCACTCCAGGTAATACTTTTTTGGCATATACTTAGGAAAAAGTGTCTTAAATTTTTAGAAACCCAACACAAATTAAATATTAATTAAATTAGTCAACTAACTAATTACAGGCCTCGGATTATACGACTTTTTCGACTATTTCCGCCTTTTTTTCAAAAATACGACTTTTTTTGACTTATTTTAATAAAATGCGACTTTTTCGACTTTTTTACATTTTTAAAAAAAATTTTTAAATAAAATACGTTTTTTTTAGTATAAAATGCATTAATTATTTTTAATAATTTTAATGATATTCATCACAAATTCAATTATTTCAAATTATTTTTCAATTAAAATTTTTTATGAAATTTAACAATTGTTTAAAATTTTTAAAAAATCAAATAAAATTAACAAAAATTTTTAATTCAAAATCACAAATCAATTCAAAATCTTTTAAAATTCATTAATTTTCAAAAATTTCAATTTAAAATCAACTAAAATTTAATTACTTTCAAAATTTACAACTCAAAATCAAAGAAATTTCAGTTATTTTCAAAATTTTCAATTCAAAATCTTTCAAAATTCAATTATTTTCCAAATTTTCAATTTAAAATCAACTAAAATTCAATTATTCTCAAAAATTTCATTTCCAAATTAATTATTATTAAAATTTTCAATCAAAAATCAACTAAAATTCAATTATTATCCAAAATTTCAATTGAAATTTAATTATATTCAAAAATTTGAATTTAAAATATTCTAAAATTTAATTATTTCTAAAATCCTCCTGAAATTCAGTTATTTTTAACTATTTTTATAATATTCTTTGAAAATTCAATTATCTAAAATCATTTTGCAATTAAAAAGATTTTTAAGTTCAATTTTTGTAATTACTGATAAATTCTTTAATTATTTTCCAAAATTTCAATTCAAAATCTTTTAAAATTCAGTTATTTTCAAAATTTTCAATTTAAAATCTTTTAAAATTCAATTATTTTCCAAATTTTCAATTTAAAATCAACTAAAATTCAATTATTTTCAAAAATTTCAATTTAAAATTAATTATTATTAAAATTTTCAATTAAAAATCAACTAAAATTCAATTATTTTCAAAAATTTCAAATTCAAAATTAATCATCTTTGAAAATTCAGTTACTTTTAAAAAATGTTATCTAAAATTATTTGATTAATTATTTTTACTTCTGTAAAATTTATTTATTGTCTGAAAATTAACTTTTGAAATTCAGTTATTTGTTAAAATTTCAACTTTAACCCTTTTCAAAATTATTATTATTTAAAAATCTAAAATTTTTTTGTTAAAATAAAAAAATCGACTTTTTTTGGAATATAAATCGACTAAAACGACTTTTTTTGTGCCTTTAAGTCGATCCGAGGCCTGTAATTAATATTTTATTATATAAAATCGAAAACACCAAGAATTTTTATTCTTTATTATAATATATATTGCAAATTATTATTTTAAAAAATCAAAAAATAAATATAAAAATATGTTTATTATAAAACCAAAGTTCTGAGAAAAAAAAGTATACGTAATTTTTTGTAGGTTTAAAAATTTTCGGGTAAAAATTCTTAAATTTAAGTTTTTTTCAAAAGTATAATATCTATTTTTAATCACATATATATTTGCATCAAAAGAAATTATTGAAAAACTTTTTTAAGAAAATAAAAGTTGTTTTTTGATTTTTAACAAGTGTTGTCAAGAAAATTTTTTTAAAATTTTTATTTAAAAAAATATAAATTTTTTATAAACAAATTTATTTATTTTTACTTTGATCGTTTAAAATTTTTTTTTGGTTTATTGCATATCTGAAAACAATAAGAAAATCTTGCAAAATGTTTTGGAATTAGTCTCAGGAAACTTTTTGTTTAAATAATTTTACCCACAGAAAAGCAAAATAAAATACATTTTAATTATATTACCTAATTATATTAAAATATTAATTTAATTTTATTATTTTTTTATTTATATTAAAAAACCAAATATTTCACTGAAAAAAAATTAAATAATTGTTATCCAAATTTAAAAAATCATTTATTAAATTCAATAAATAGTAGTAAATAATTATTTACTTAATAAATATAAGATATATCACATAATAATTGAGTGTGAAGGCCAACTTTTTAATTTTCATTTGCTTTGGGGAAAAAAGTAAAAAAAAAATTTTGAAACTAATAGTTATTTTTTAGATTATTTATAAAAAATTTCAGAAAATTAAAGAAATTCCCTAATTTTTCCCTGACCATTTATGTTTGGAATGATTATTATTCATAGTTGAGTTTTTCTGTTTTTTATTTTTATCCAAACTTTGGCGCCGTTGCCGAAGCGCCGTCTGGTGTGCAGAATGTGACTTGCATGTGTGATGTGTGTGGTGAGCGACACCATGACGCCATAAAATCAATATTAAATCAATCTTTGCAGTGTACGCATCTCTTTTTTTGTAAATCCGCTATTTTATTTTGTAAAATAAATTTAGTTTTTGTGCTACAAGAAAAATAAGAAAAAATCCATCTCCTTCTTCTTTCCACAAATATAAACATGGTCCTTCGAGCTTGGATTCGAAGAGGAGAGGAAAAAAGTGATTTTTGTTGTACGAAATTGCGCGTCGCTTAGTGTCTCATAGCAACGCCATTATCAAAACGTGACTTTTACTACCAGTGTATTTTCTAAAGTGTATTTAATTCACTTTATTCGCAAACTTGCTTTTTCAATACAGCCAAAGTATTGCTTTTGGTCACATTGTGGAAAATATCTATTTGTTCAATGTGTGCTAAGCCATTGTAAATAGATATCACCGAGTGCTCATAAAAATGGCGAGTGACTCTTACGTATTGACTCTGAAAGATCAAGAGGTTTTATTCGAATCTATTATCAAGATTACTAGACGAGTGAGGAACCAGGAAAATCCATCTCGTCAATTTTTGGTTGGACGTCTATCAAATCTGCAAGAATTTTGGGAAAGGTGCAGAAAAAATCATGTGCTGTTAATAGCAAATCCGCCTGTCGCTCCTGGAAATTCCGTTCACGAGAGCGATTATGAAGACGCTAGTGATCTACAAATTTATGATCCTGCTAAATTCAACGAAACAGAGGAAATCTATGAGGATGCGATAGATTTAATTTTGTCTCAACTCCCAGAACCGCCAGTCATCCAAGCTGCTCCGCACCAAGAAGTTCCCGGACAATCCAGACCAGACAGTCATCACCGTCCAACAGCGCCATCAGTTCATTTACCGCGTATCACAATTCCGAAATTCTCGGGTGAGTACAGTGAGTGGCTTGCTTTTCGCGATTTATTTACATCTTTGGTAATTAAAAATGAATCTCTTTCGGATGCTGAACGTTTACATTATTTAAAAGTTAGTCTTGCCGACGAGGCTTTAATAATCGCGCAAAATCAACCCGGAACAGCTAATAATTTTCAAATTATCTGGAAAAATTTAGAATCTCGTTACGATAATTGTAAAGCTTTGGTGTTTGACTATTTAAAAAAGATTGTAGAACTTCCAGATATTACCTCAGATTTTCTTGCTAATTTGAAACACATGCGTAATGTTATTATTACTGTGAGTACTGCTTTGACAAATTTAAATCGCCCAATCGATGAGAAGAATGATCTCTTTGTTTATATTCTTATTAATAAACTTGACAAATGTTCGCGAGATCAATGGGAATTAGTAGTAAGTGATTCGACGGATCCTCCCTCTCTAAATGAGTTTACTAAATTTTTGGACATGCGTATTCGTGCGCTTGAGGCATCTGTAACTGTTAAGAAACGTTTTGACAACAAAAGTGCGACTAACTCATCGCATCCCCATAATAATTCTCGGCCTAAAGTTTTTTCTCATCAAAGCTCGTCCAAATTGTCTTGCTGCCTGTGCAAGGGAGAACATAATTTGTATTCCTGTCCGCAATTTAAAGCAAAATCCGCGAATGAGAGGTATGACTGCGTTCGTGAAAATAATCGATGTACTAACTGTTTGGGTAAACATTATCGTAATGCGTGTGTAAGCAAAAATGTTTGTTCAAAGTGTGGTAAACCGCATCACTCTCTCTTGCATCGCGAGCAAGGCAATTATAATTCTAACAATACTACTTCAAAATCAAATGATAATGACTGTAGTTCGGATGTTTCAAGCTCACAAAATCAATCAAAAATTGAAAAACTTGTATCGTCTCATTTGCATGAGACTGAAAGTCGGCGAGCTGTCTTATTAGCAACGGCTCGTGTGATAGTAGAAGCGCCTAACGGTCGTCGAGTACAAATTCGAGCTTTACTTGATCAAGGCTCCGAAGCCACTTTTATTTCAGAATCGGTCGTGCAACTATTACATCTCTCTCGCAAAAATGTTAATGTTATGGTATCTGGATTAGGAGGAAACTCGTCAAATAAAGTCATTCATTCCGCGCAAATTTTAGTAAAGCCCGTCAAACCTGGTACTGATTTTCTCACGACTCAAGCATTCATCCTTCCAAAGATCACATCCTACGTCCCTACAGAATTCGCGTTATCCAAAATACCTTCAAATTTACAAAACTTAGAGCTCGCTGATCCTTGTCCTTGCTCAAGTGACGCCATTGATTTATTGATTGGTGCCGATTTATACAGTCAAACCTTGAAACAGGGAGTTTGTCCTGGTACCTCTGGTAGCCTCATTGCCCAATCAACCATCTTCGGATGGATTCTTTCTGGACCTCTTCCAAATTTATCTTCTCACGTACTCCACATTAATGTCCATCATGCACTAAATGCCTCTGTTGATCAATCAATTGCTCGATTCTGGGAATTGGAAGAAGTTCCTCACAGTATTCCTCTTACAAAAAAAGAAATTGATTGTGAAAATCATTTTGCTGAGACTCATTCAAGGGATTTGTCTGGTAAATACACGGTTAAGCTTCCCTTCGATCAAGATCCCAATATTCTCGGAGATTCGCTATCTACTGCTCTTAATTCGTTTGACAGATTAGAAAAAAGATTTTCGCGTAATCCACTACTCGCTTTAAATTATCAAGAGTTTATAACTAATTATAAAGCAATGGGTCATATGTCTCTGCTAGGCACATTGGATGAATGTGATCCGCGAAACGTATTCATTCCTCACCATCCAGTGTTACGAGATTGCAGTCAAACAATGAAGCTGAGAGTAGTCTTCAACGCTTCAAGTCCTACCTCAACCAAGATTTCCCTGAACGATTGTTTACACGTGGGTCCTAAACTACAGAACGAGATTTCGACAATAATCTTGAATTGGCGTCAGCATAAATACGTTTTATGTGCTGATATCGCTAACATGTTTCGTCAGATTTTAATATCCCCGGATGATCGCAAATATCAGTGTATTATTTGGCGTGATTCACCTGCTGACTCTCTTCAAGTGTATGAGTTAAATACAGTTACGTACGGTATGGCTAGTTCACCATACTTAGCAATCAGAGTGTTACGTCAATTGGCGAAGGATGAAGAAGCGAATTTCCCCATCGCAGCTCCGATTTTATTGAATGACACCTACGTTGACGATACATTTCTTGGAGGAAAAGATAAAGTGTCCGCCTTAACAGCCCGAGATCAGTTGATTGCTTTAACTTCTTCAGGTGGATTTCCATTGCGCAAGTGGTTTAGCAATGAACCGGAGTTGCTTGAGGGATTGCCTGACGTGGAGCATGGCCTTGCAATGGAAATGCCTCTCGGTGATTCCTCTGGTTTTAAAGTTCTAGGCATCTTTTGGGATCCTGCGGCTGATGCCTTTATCTACCGGTTCTCTGCACTTCCTTCAGATAATCCTACTAAGCGCTCGTTACTCTCGGCTGCTTCAAAACTTTTTGACCCACTGGGATGGATATCGCCAGTGACTATCTCTGCAAAAATCCTACTTCAAAAGCTCTGGCTTCGAAAACTTGATTGGGATGATTTACTCCCTTCCGATCTTGCTCACGAATGGGATGACTTTCGTATAAAACTCTCTAAGTTATCACAAGTTTCTGTCCCTCGGTATATCGCTCTGGACAATAATTCTTCCAACTTGCAGATACATGGTTTTTCTGACGCATCGAGTGTTGCCTATGCTGCTGTCGTATATAGTCGAGTTGTAACTGCGTCGGGAACAATTTTAGTAAGTCTCCTTACCGCAAAAACTAAAGTTGCTCCGTTAAAAACAATAAGCATACCTAGATTGGAGTTGTGCGCGGCAAGCCTACTAACAACTCTACTTTCTTTTGTTATAAGGTCGCTAAATCTGGTTGATGTTCCAATTTATTGTTGGACAGATTCGTCTGTGGTTTTGAGTTGGCTACAAAAGCCACCTGTCACGTGGACAGTGTTTGTTGCAAATCGCGTCTCCGCAATTCAAACAAGTTTACCTTCTGCTCTTTGGAATCACGTTCCATCAAAAGAAAACCCGGCTGATTGCGCATCCCGTGGCTTATCTGCTGAAAATTTACCTTCGTTTACCTTATGGTGGCGAGGCCCTCCATGGTTATCTAACTCGTCAGGTAATTGGCCACAACGTGATTCGAATATTCTCAACACCGAACAAGAAAAACGGATGACCTCGCACAATGTTACTCAAGACAAAGAAGACTGGCATTTAAAATTGATAAAAAAAATGTCTTCTTGGGCTCGGTTGTTACGAGTCACTGCCTATGTTCTGCGAGCGATTAATGTATTCAAAACTAAGGTTAAACCTAAAGTTCCTATGACAGCAATCGAAATTCGAGAGGCTTCTATTTTTTGGGTTCGTTACGTTCAAGCCACTGCTTTTTCTAGAGAGACCGACGCAATTAAATCTAACAATCTACTACCAAGAGACTCTCCGCTTAAACGACTTAACCCGTTTATTGATGATAATGGAATTGTGCGTCTTGGTGGCCGGTTGCTCCAATCTAATTTGTCAATTTATCAGCAGCCTCCTGCTATTCTACCTAAACATGTTTTGTCTCGAATGATCTTAGAACAGTTTCATAAAAACTTGTTACATTCCGGAATACAATTAACCTTGTACATGTCGCGTACCCAATATTGGATAATCAACGGTCGAAGTCAAACCAATGCAGTTGTCAACCGTTGCGTTACTTGCGTCCGACACAAGGCTCGAACTGAAACCCAAATAATGGGTGACCTTCCAACTGCCAGAATATCTCCTTCCCGTCCGTTTTCCCACACCGGTCTTGACTACGCGGGACCATTTTTGGTTCGATCGTCCTCAGGTCGTGGTTCTAAGTCACACAAGGCCTGGATTGCAGTCTTTATATGCCTTGCAGTAAAAGCAATCCATTTGGAACTGGTTCATGATTTATCGACAGCAACTTTTATTGCGGCCTTTAGGCGCTTCACTTCACGCCGTGGAATTCCGTCTGACCTGTATAGCGATAATGGTACGAATTTTCGCGGCGCTGATCGCGAGCTTTCGCAGACTTTCCGGACTCTCCTAAAAGATCCTATTCTTGCAGCTCAACTCGCTTCTGATGGTACTACATGGCACTTTATGCCACCGTACGCTCCCAACTTCGGCGGATTATGGGAGGCGGGTGTTAAAAGTGTAAAAGGGCATTTACGTAAATTGTTATCTAATTCGACACCGACCGCGGAAGAACTCACCACTCTTTTGTGCCAAATTGAAAGTTGTTTAAATTCGCGTCCCCTCGTTCCGATCAACGAGGATCCGGAGAGCTGCGACGTGCTCACACCGGGACATTTTTTAGTGGGTTCCGCTCTGAAAATAGTACCTACACCTTCCTATCTTGATGTACCTGAAAACCGTCTGACTCGTTGGCAATTTTACCAACGCATTCTAGAGCATTTTTGGAGATCTTGGTCTCGAGTATATTTACAAACTTTGCAGCAACGAACCAAATGGTTTTCAGCCCGACCTAACATTAAAGTTGGTGATATTGTCTTGATTAAAAATGAAGATTCTCCGCCATCTAAATGGGATTTAGCACGAATTATCAAATGCATATCGGGACGAGATGGGGTGGTAAGAGTTGTGCATTTAAAAACGGCTAACTCCGAGTTTGTTCGTCCGATTTCAAAAATTGTTCTGTTACCTACTTCGATTGATGATAAGATATTGTAAAATTGTTCTCTGCGTTTTTTAGTAAATTCAAGAATCTTTGTAAAATTAAAAATTATTATTGCGATCTTTAAAACAATCTCGCAAGGTGGCCGGTATGTTTGGAATGATTATTATTCATAGTTGAGTTTTTCTGTTTTTTATTTTTATCCAAACTTTGGCGCCGTTGCCGAAGCGCCGTCTGGTGTGCAGAATGTGACTTGCATGTGTGATGTGTGTGGTGAGCGACACCATGACGCCATAAAATCAATATTAAATCAATCTTTGCAGTGTACGCATCTCTTTTTTTGTAAATCCGCTATTTTATTTTGTAAAATAAATTTAGTTTTTGTGCTACAAGAAAAATAAGAAAAAATCCATCTCCTTCTTCTTTCCACAAATATAAACAATTTAAATTCCCTGACTTTCCCTGACCGTTAGACACCTTGTAATTTTCTGAATTATTTTGATTTTTATTGACGGCACGTGTTAAAATTTTCTTTATTCGCAAGTGGGAGAGTTAAGGGGTTTTGTGTGACGCTGTCGTGAAAGACACGGGGTGGAATAAGATGTTGAGCTGATGTGAAGGGAACGACTCTCTCTCTTAATTAAGAAAGTTGACTTGGCCACCACAACTATAGTCAAGATTGGTAAATGTGAAAGGATGACGTTCGTCCACCGCACCCTTTAGAGGGTTCTCGCCTTGATACTATGTACGAATATAAATTCGCCCATTATCCAGTGATTAGTGCGTCACAAGGGGGAAGGCTTAGGAGAGCGATGGTTATTCTCAGTACACTGATTTCGTTTTGCTAAGATCTTTCAACCCTTTAACGAAATAGCGTATATATATATATACATATATAGTCACAAAGAGTTTGTTAACTTTGTTATTGCGCATTAAATGAGTGTTTATTTCCCTGTAAAACACCCCCATTAGAATTCAAGGATTCTGTATATTTTTTCGCTTTCAATATTCTATTAGGAAAAAATAAAATTTAGCAAAAAGATTATATTAATTTTCTGCTTTTGAAAATAATTTTTTAAAATTACAAAAGAAAATTTACTCACAATACGAATTCCGGTAGAAGCATTTTTTTTTTTTCAGCATCAGTCAATTACATCACTCAGGTTTTTGTTGTGCGCCTCCATTTCAATATTCAATCGCGACTTGCTGCATAATTATATATTTCCATCTTCGCTTTTTTTTTTCTTCGTTTCCAGAAAATCACTGCACTTTTTTTGCCTCCTGATAAAAGAAAATATATTAATCGTAAGGTTTAATTTTTAAAAATCTGGATTTTTTTTTTAAATTTGAATTTATTTAATAAATATTTATTTCATTTACTAATATTAACTAATATTTGCTATTATTTACTAATATTTGCTATTATTTACTAATATTTGCTATTATTTACTAATATTAATAATTAATATTTTAAGTAAAATACTTCCGAATATAAAACAAAAATTTGGATAATAAATAAAATATATATTTAACTTCAAAAATTTGTTTTATGTAATATTGAAAAATTGATAAATATACGCATGAACTAACTTTTTGCTAAATATAAACTACTCCTTTGTATATATATATATATATATATAGAAGAAATTCTCCTAAGGGACCAGTAAAATTAATCAATATCAAAATTTACCTTGCTTAAAATTAGTGAATACTAGTTTATAATCTCCGCGGTTTAAAAAAAAATTAAGCTATATAATTATACAAAAAATTTTGTATTTCTTTTTTGTTATTTTTTTTACAAATTTAGTATTTCAGTAAAAATTAAAACAAATAAAATTCTATTTTACAATTTTTTAACAATAATTATTGTTAATAAATTGTAAAATAAAAATTTTTTTTCCAAATAAAAGATAAAACATATAGTTTCTATATAATCAAGATATAAATGTAACATGTATTTTTAAACATTGTACTAAATTTTCATCACTATTTTAGTTAAAAAAAAATTTTTTTTGTCAAACGAAATTCAACAAGAAATTTAAAAACATTTTTTTCTAAATCGCAATTTAATTACAAAAAATCAAATTATTTTACAAAACATATAATTTTTTACTCTGTTAGAAAAATATACGAGTTTAAATACTGGTTTCCTTCCGTTAAAAAAAAAAACGGACATTATTATTGAATAAATAATTATTTTACAAAGAAAGAAAAAAAAGTATGTATTCCGAAAATTATAGGATTTTTGCATCACAAATAAAAAGTATATAAAAAAGTTTTTAATAGCTTTAAATTATTTTAATGGAAAATATCAAAAATGTAAAGAAACATTTATTGGCAAATTTACCAGTTCACTTTGTTTAATAAACTAAAAACAATCGAAATTTTATTCTATTTTCGTTTTTAATTTTTTAGTAACCGAAAAAATTTGACATCATAACCTTAATTATTTATGTTCATTACATTTTTCAAAAATAACTAATATACTATTCAACATTAAAATGTCAAACAAAAATTAGGAATATAAAATACATTTATGAGACTGGAAGCACATGTTGTCAAAAATTATAATTAAATAACTTCTACTTGTAGAGAATTTAAAAATCAAAATCATGCAAAAAATTTCTTTCATCTTTTTTTTATTGTTTCAAAATAACACTTACCGATGTTAATTGCGTTATTTCCCATCACTTGGCGGCAGTTTTGTCACAAAAATTGTTCACACTGTTCATTTAATCAGTTTAATTAATTCGTTTGTAAATTACTTGACAAAAATTAGAAACAAATAGTATAACGCTCAGCACATGGAAAGGTTTCAAATTTAGGTAACAATCAACTTATAATGGCGTCGATTCTAGAACATGAACAGCCATCTTTCGAAAGTAAACTACAACTAAAGAAAATGTTCAAACGTATTGGTGGCGACATCTTGTACCTGGAATTGAAAACAGCTTCTAAAAATACAAGATGATAACATTTTTAAATATTTCGATAAATCATTTTATATTTCTTATTTTTTTACAGTAAAAATACAAAACAAACACTTTTTTATACTTTTAATTGAAATAGACAATAAATCTTTTATTTAAATAAAGCGGAAAAATTACATTAACCAATGGGAGAAAAGCAAATTGTATGTAACCTAACCTCAACCTGAAATCATCGCGCACGTGTTTAGTGAATTAGTGACAGGTTTTAGTTTTTTAATAAACTATTTATAAAAGAATTACTTTCTAACAAGGAATATTATTTTGAATTAAAATGCAGCACGACGATGTAAGTTTATAACATTTTTTTTTTTTTTTCTAGGTATTTAATAGAAAAATTATATCGAATTAATTTTTTTTCAGGTTGTTTGGAGTATTATCAACAAATCATTTTGTTCATTTAAAGTAAAGTAAGTACAACAAAAAAAATTCTTATATTTTCAAATAATAATTCTTCCGATTTAAAAAGTTAAGGAAAAAAATTATTTTTCAGTACAAAATCACAGAGATTTTGCCGCAATGAATATAACCTCACAGGTTTGTGTAGTCGTTCCTCTTGTCCTTTGGCTAATAGTCAATATGCCACAGTAAGAGAAGAAAATGGAATTATTTTTCTATATATGAGAACTGCCGAAAGGTAAATATAAATAATTCAATTATTAAAATCAAAATTAAACGTATTAGAAAAAATTAATCGCTGTGTCTATTTAGCCCGCTAACGGGAGGATTTTGGCTATTTAGCCCGCTTATTTTAAAAAAATCACCAAAATGAGAACTATTTAGTTTGCAATAAGTATATTTAAAATATTTTTTATTTTTCTTATTTATTTATTCTAGAATAATAAAATATATATATTCTATTAAATGTATATTAAGTGCAATTAAAAATAAGGCAATCGTTTATTTAAATATATTAATGTGATTTAATACAAAGTTTATTTGCTTCAAAATGAATTGTTTATAAATTTAATTTAATTAATTATTTAATTAATGTTGTGGTAAAAAAACAAATTTTTTGTTTAAACCAAATTTATTGTAAGAAAACTGTTTAACAACAGGTATATTTATTTTCCAATAAATTATTAGAAAATAGTTTATGGAAGGTTGAAAATAAATAAATTTCTTTGATGGGAATTAGAATCCTTAACTTTTATTTTTTTTTCGTTGAATCAACGTTGGTAATTTCAGTTTTATAAAAATGTTCCAAAAACACACTTCTTTTGTTGACGTTAAATTTCAAAAAATCATAACTTCCTTCATTTTCATCAAATTAAAAACATACGTAATTTCTTATTTTTCATATAAATTTCGAAAAAAAAAAATTTTGAATGATAATTTCCCGTGGAAATACGTATTTATAAAATACAAGAATTTTAATTGTATTTCAAAAATTAATTTTTATTTGGAAATTTAAAGTTTCAATAGAAAACAATTCCATATACCTGTAGTTAAACAAGTTTTCTTACAATAAATTTGGTTTAAACAAAGAATTTGTTTACTTACCACAACTTTAATTAAATAATTAATTAAATTAAATATATTTAAACAATTCATTTTGGAGCAAATATACTTTGTATTAAATCACATTAATATATTTAAATAAACGATTGCCTTATTTTTAATTGCACTTAATATACATTTTATATAATAAAATATATTTTATTATTCTTGAATAAATAAATAAGAAAAATAAAAAATATTTTAAATATACTTATTGCAAAATAAATAGTTCTCATTTTGGTGATTTTTGTAAAATAAGCGGGCTAAATAGCCAAAATCTTGGATTTCTCCCGCTAGCGGGCTAAATAATCTATCTCCACTATTCATCCCGTTAGCGGGCTAAATAGACACAGCGAAAATTAATTTTCAATTTTTCAGAGTTCATTTTCCAAAAGAAATGTGGGAAAAAGTGAAACTTTCACGAAATTTCGAAAAAGCAATTCATCAAATAAATGAAAATCTCCTCTATTGGCCTGGATTTATTAAATCAAAATGTAAACAAAGATTTGTGAAAATAACACAATATTTGATACGAATGAGAAAATTACGATTAAGACGTCAAAAGAAAATAGTGCCACTTCAAAGGAAAATTGAAAGACGCGAAACAAGACGAGAAGAAAAAGCACTTGTTGCCGCTAAATTAGACACTGCAATTGAGAAAGAATTGATGGAAAGACTCAAGAAGGGAGTGGTAGGCTTTTAATTTATTTTTTTTTATTTACCATCATCTATTTAAATAATTGATATATTTAATTAAAATTATATTGATTTTCAGTACAAGGATATTTACAATTTCTCTCAAAAAGCTTTTGAAAAAGCAGTCGAAGCCGTGGAAGTTGAAGGTGAAAGCGAAGCCGAAAGTGAAGAAGAGGTTTGTGACTTGATTTTTTTTTAAATAAATAAATGTACAATAAATTGTACAATAATTAAATTTAATAATTCAGGAAGAGAAGGAAATCGAAAGAGAAGTGGAAATGGAATTGGAAGCTGATGAACGTGAAACTGAACTTTATGTTGAGGATGAAAGTGATGATAATGATGACGATGACGAGTATCAATATGAATCTGATGATGATCAAGAAAGTGATTCTGGATTAAAAGAAGATGTCGAAGTGTCCAGTGACTTTGAATCCGAAACGAGCGATATCGAGGTTCACATTCTAATATTAATACATTTTTAATCCTAAAAATATATTTTATTCTTAACTAATCGAGATTAATAATTTATATTTTTTTTTTTAACAGGATATAGCGCCGTCGACTAGTAGAAAAGTCAGGAACCCTAGATTCATAAGGAAAAATAAATTAGACAAAAAATCACGTCCAAAAGTCGAAATTGAATATGAAATTGAAAATGAAGGAAGAGAAAGAGTGCGATCCTAAATTATTAATTTGTTATATGTCTTGTCTTTGTATAAAGAAAATAAATTTCGTATTATTAAGAAACATTTTTTTTTGCAATTTGTTTCTTTCAAACATTTATTTTAAGTTTAATATAGTTTCAATTTTTTCTTAACAAAACTATATTACATATAATAATCGTGAATATCTTTCGTTCATTCTGTCCACACCTGAAGTTAGTATTTGTTATAGGTCTTTTGTTTTTTTTAAATGTATTGTTTGACATTATTTTGTGTTGGTTAAAATTTTTCAATGTTTTTTTTGGCATTGTTTCGATAATTAATTTTGAATAGAAATTTTAAAAAATAATTGAATTTTATTTTATTTTAAATTGAAAACTTGGTAAATAATTGAATTTTAAATTGAAAATTTGAAAATAATTTAATTTTAGTTGATTGTTGATTGAAAATTTGAAAATAATTAATTTTAGTTGATTGCTGATTGAAAATTTTGATAATAATTAATTTTGACTCGAAATTTTGGAAAATAATTAAATTTGAATTGAAATTTTCGATAATAATTTAATTTAAGTTCATTTTTAATTGAAAATTTCGATAATTAATTTTGAATAAAAATTTTAAAAAATAATTGAATTTTATTTCATTTTAAATTGAAAACTTGGAAAATAATTGAATTTTACATTGAAAATTTTGAAAATAATTTAATCTTAGTTGATTGAAAATTTTGATAATAATTAAGTTTAGTTGATTGTTGATTGAAAATTTTGATAATAATTAATTTTGACTCGAAATTTTGGAAAAGAACTGAATTTTAATTGAAATTTTGGATTTTAATTTAATTTAAGTTCACTTTTAATTGAAAATTTCGATAATTAATTTTGAATAGAAATTTTAAAAAATAATTGAATTTTATTTTATTTTATTTTAAATTGAAAATTTGGAAAATAATTCAATTTTATATATAATTTAATAACATATAATAATGATTTTCATTATTATCATTTAACATGAAATAATATTCTAATAAATTTAAATTATTATTGATAATATTAATCTTTAATTTCTTTATAACAAACAATTAAATACTCAATTTGGCGCGCGTTTAATATTGCTATAGTTTAATAAATAAAAATAATAATTGATAAACTAATGAAAAACTCGAAATTTAAATATTAACGGAAGTAACGTAAAGTTACGTAATATGATTTACAAACTTGAAATTGACTACCCAATGCTGATCTGTCAAATCTCAGAAGTTTCGACTTTCGTTTACAGTTCTGTATAGTTTATTAACAATTTTTCAAAGTTTGTAAATAATTTTTACAAAATATTTCAATAAAACTCTTTCTCACTGTGTTTTTAAGTTAACGATAAAATAATATTTATGAAGCAGGTAAAGTAAATTTTTCATATTACACGAATATTCAAAACAATTCAATTTAATCAAATACAAAAGTTTAAAAAAAAGAAAAAAAATCATTTTTAATTATTTTACCGAATATTCTAAAGCAAAATAATTGTTTTTATTTCCTATCACAATGTCAATATATAAATAAAAAACTAAATAATACTTATCGGTCAGTATACAATTTTTGAGGTTAGAAACATCTTGTTTTTCAAACATTCATAAAAATTGATTTCCAATTATACAATTTTATTTTTTTAAATTCTCTATTTTACTTTATCCAGCTGTAATTATCATCAAGAAGTCATGGATTTTCAAAATCGACCCGGTGGAAAAACCGGAGGAGGCGGCGTTGCCTCATGGTCGGAAAGTAATCGCGATCGAAGAGAACGACTCCGGCAACTTGCCCTCGAAACAATTGATCTCAATAAAGATCCCTATTTTATGAAAAATCATCTTGGCTCCTATGAATGTAAATTGTGTCTCACTTTACACAATAATGAAGGCAGTTATCTTGCTCACACTCAGGGTAAAAAGCATCAAGCCAATTTAGCAAGACGTGCTGCAAAAGAAGCCAAAGAAGCACCACAAACATTAGCGCCGGAGAAACCTCGTGTGGAGCCAAAAAAATTTGTCAAAATTGGAAGACCCGGTTATCGTGTAACTAAACAACGTGATCCCGAATCTGGACAACAAAGTCTTTTATTTCAAGTTGATTATCCCGAAGTTGCCGACAATATTTGTCCTCGACATCGTTTTATGTCGGCCTACGAACAAAGAGTAGAGCCACCTGATCGTAAATGGCAATATTTATTATTCGCTGCCGAACCTTATGAGACAATTGCTTTCAAGGTATATTTCTGTAAATTATTATTCAATTGAATTATTTTTCAAAACTTATTTTTTTAATTATTGTTTTAGGTACCAAGTAGAGAAGTTGAAAAAGCAGAGGGCAAATTTTGGACACATTGGAATAAAGATACGAAACAATTTTTCCTACAGTTTGCCTTTAAAAATGAAAAGCCACAAGTTGGAAAAGTACCACCGCCGCCGGTTCCTTTAATTCGACCAGGATTGGGACCACAAATGATGCCTGTTCCACCACCTCCGAGACCGCCAATGTTTAATCCTGTACCTCCACCTCCTTCAGTTTTAGCTGGAGGAATGGCGATTCCACCACCACCACCTCATTTAGTTTAAATCTCTTTCTTTTTTTTTTGTTTGTTTTATTCAATTGTTTGCAATAACAATGGCAATGAATTGTATAAAACTAAATGTGACTTAAAAAATATTGTCAATTGACTGTTTTCCTTACATTTTAATAAAGAATCGAAACAAAAATTGAATTAACTTGATATTTTCAAATCAGGGTGGCCGCAAAATTTTATTTTCAAAATTCCCTGACTAAAAAACTTTTGAATTATTTAATAATCTGCATTGCTGATTGAAATTTTTATAATGCTTTTAAAGTAACAATTTTATTCATAAAGGAAAAGATAAGTTAATTAAAAATTGTTTAATAACAAAATTTTATTATAAAAAAAAGTAAATACTTTGAAAAATAATAAATCTGACGGCACCATTATAATGGTTTATAATTTTTATAATTATAAAAACGTCTAAATAAAAAAAAACTGAATCGACATTTATGTATCAAAGTTTTTTAATTTGTGGTTTCTTTTCATCAAAATTCCCTGATTTCCAGTTTTTCCCTGACTTGCGGCCACCCTGTCAAATAAAATAACAACTTTAAAAGTTGCAAAATTTACAATTTTTAACTTCGAAAGAATATAAATTTTGACAAAAAGCAAAATTATTTTAGACGCAGGCCTCGAATAGACTTTAAGGCACAAAAAAAGTCAATTTTTTTATTTTAACAAAATTTAATTATGGTTAATGAATATTTGTTTTTAAATAACTAATGTTATTAGATATTAAATTCATTTTATCAATTCTGTAATGAGAATAATTCTATAAAAATATCAAGAAAATTGTTTTCCAATATTTTAGAATCGAACTAATTGTAAGTCAAATTTTCAAAATTTATTTTAAGTGGGACAAATTTCTATAAAAACATTCTTAAAGTTTCATTTTTATAAAAAGTCGAATAATCCGAGGCCTGTAGATGATATTCTTAATATTTTTTATTTTTAGATGCAAAATTTATATTATTCATATAAAATATAGATTTTAATTTGGTTTAGAAAGTACAAAGCGAGATTCTAAAACATTCTGGACCTTTATTTTTTAACAGGCCTCGGATCGACTTAAAGGCACAAAAAAAGTGGTTTTAGTCGATTTATATTTCAAAAAATGTCGAAAAAGTCGATTTTTTTTTTTATTTTAACAAAAATATTTTACAGATTTTTTAAAAAAATTATTTTTTAAATAACAATAATTTTGGAAGGTTTAAAGTTAAAATTTTTAAAAATAATTGAATTTCAAAAGATTTTGTTAATTTTCAGACAATAATTAAAATTTTACAGAACTAAAAATAATTTATCAAACAATTTTAGATAACATTTTTTAAATGTAATTGAATTTTCAAAGATTTAAAATTGAGATTTTTTAAATTAATTGAACTTCAAGTGATTTTTAATTAAAACTTTTTTTGATGATTTCATTAAAATATTTATTAGAAATTTCGGACAAAAATACAACAATTTGAGAACCATTTTTAATTGCAAACTGGTTTCAGAAAGTTGAATTTTTCAAGAATATTATAAAAATAGTTAAAAATAATTGAATTTCCGGAGAGTTATAAAATTGAAATTATTAAATTTCAAAAATTTTAGAAGCTTTTAAATTCAAATTTTTGAAAATAATTGAATTTCAATTGAAATTTTAGACAATAATTCAATTTTAGTTGATTTTTGATTCAAAATTGTCATAATAATTAATTTTGAATTGAAATTTTTAAGAATAATTGAATTTTAGTTGATTTTGATTTAAAAATTTGGAAAATAATTAAATTTTAATAGAATCTGAATTGAAAATTTTTAAAATAATTGAATTTTATTTGATTTTGAATTGAAAATTTTTAAAATAATTGAATTTCATTTGATTTTGAATTGAAATTTTGCAAAATAATTGAATTTCGATTGAAATTTTGGATAATAATTTAATTTTAGTTGATTTTTGATTGGAAATTTTGATAATTAATTTTGAATTAAAAATTTTTAAAATAATTGAATTTTTGTTGATTTTGATTTAAAAATTTGGAAAATAATTAAATTTTAATAGAATTTGAATTGAAAATTTTTAAAATAATTGAATTTTATTTGATTTTGAATTGAAAATTTTTAAAATAATTGAATTTTTGTTGATTTTGAATTGAATTTTTTTTTAAATAATTGAATTTTATTTGATTTTGAATGAAAAATTGGTGGTAATTTTATTTGAAATTATTGAATTTGTGATGAATTTCATTAAAATTATTAAAAATAATTAATTTAGTAAAGAGTTTTAATTAAAAATTTGCTAAATAATTGAAATAAAGAAGATCTGAAGATCTGCATTTTATACTAAAAAAACGTATTTTATTTAAAAAATTTTTTTTTTTAAGGCCATCCGGGAGAAAATAATGGTTTTGTAGATTTCTTCTCATTTGAAAAAAATTGAATATTTTAGGTTGTAATTTTTTGGAAATAATAGAGGAAGGTACCCTGCCAGGGGCTCTTCTCGGAATTTTGCAAAATCTTGATAAATAATTATTGAAAAAAATGTTTAAACATTGGCAAAAAGGGGTTTCGTAAATTACTTCTCATCTTTAAAGGATAAAGTATTTCGAGTTGGCATTTGGAGGAATAATAGAGGAAGGGTCACTGAGTGGGGCTCTTCTCCATTTTTGCAATAATATTGTGAGGAAATTATTTTATTAAAGATTTAAAGTGGAGTAATTTGGGGTAAGTTAGTTCAGCAGCGGCCACTAGCTAAAATTGGCGCCACCTTCTGGGCCACTGACACATAGATTCAATGTCTGTGTGCTCGCCTCCCCTACTGTTCCCACTTCTGTCAAAAATCCAACTTTTATAATCACGATTTTCAATACTTTTCAACAAAATTACTTGTAAAAATGGAGATGATTCTTAATCAGCTCGCCCTCATCTAATTAATCCGACAAATCCGAACAAGATATTTCAAGTTATTTACGAGTAATATCTCGCGCGGGAAAACACTTTTAGGTTAGGGATTTTTCCCGGATGGCCTTAAATGTAAAAAAAAGTTGAAAAAGTCGCATTTTATTAAAATAAGTCGAAAAAAGTCGGAAATAGTCATATAATCCGAGGCCTGTTTTAACCACAAAGAAAATTTAAACCCTAAACAATTATGATTATTGAACTTAAAAATAAAATTTAAAAAAATTAATAATAACGCTTAAAAAAATTCAATGAATCCAAATATCAGTACAAAAATAATATTAAAGGCAAGAAGGAATATCATTAATTACACTTGGATTAGATTTTCTTCCTTTTCTTTTATTAAACTTAGTACACAGATGAAAAGCGTACATCTTGAAACACCAAAGTGATCCAATTTTCTGCAACAAATAAAAATGAAACTTAAAATTTCGATTTTAAAAAAATTAAGTTAATGCAAAAAAAAAAAATTAACTATCTTATATCAATGAAAAGATAGATTATAATTCAGAAAAGAACACTCAACAGGGTTTAAAGTGTTGTACGCACTTTTCAGTCCGCCCGTTCAATATCATCATTAAGAAATTATTATTTTTTTTTCCCTATTTTATCTATTTTTATTATTTTCTTAATTTACTAAAATATTTACCTTTCGTGTTAAAGTAGAAAAAGTTTTCTGAAACAAACGGAAAGGAAAAGAAATTAAAATTTTTTATTTATAAACAAAACAAGAGTGCATTAAATTGTTGTAACTTATTTTTGAATTTAATATAAATAAGTTACAATCAGAGAAGAACGTTCAACAGGGTTTAAAGTGTTGTACGCACTTTTCAGTCCGCCCGTTCAAGATCATCATAGAAAGAAATTCTCAATTACACACAATTTAATAAATTACTAAATAGTAAAGAAGATTTAATACCAAAATATAAACTTAAACTTCTTTTTTACTTTAGAATATATATATATATATATACATTAGAAAATAATTTGAATTTTAATATATTTGTAAGAGCCATCAATCAAAAATTTTTGAAAAATAATTATTTTCCTTATTATTAAATATAATTATCACATAATAATTTTTAAAAATGAAAAAAATTATTTTAAATCTTTCAGTAACTAAATTAATAATTTTTATTAATTACTTGAAATTATTACAAAAATAATTTTGATTGTAATTATTCTTTTTAGAATTATTATGTCTCATTTGTAATATATGAAATTGTTGTAATTTCGTAATTGTCTCTTTTTCATGTTGAAAACATTTTTTTTTTAGTTCAATAAAAGAAAAGCTTCACGAAAATATTTACCTGATTCCTCAAGCACAAAGAACACAGGCACCACCGACAGCTCTGATCTTGTCTTCCGCTGATTTACTGAAGAATTTAGCCTTAACGATAACAGGTTGTTTGGGTAATCTACCTTTACCCAAGAGTTTGTAGTATCCCTAAAGAAGAAATTACATATAAATTATTACAAATTAAATACAATAAGAAATTAAATATAATTTAGTAAAATAAACATATACAAAATAAAAATCTACAAACCGCTTTGACGAGATCAATTACGGGAGCTTTTCCATCTTTATTGTCTTTATATTTAAGCCTGGTTTGTTCAGAAACAAGGGTCCATAGCTTATCCAAATTCATAGCTGGACACCATTTGGAATTTCTTCGCAAATGGTAATTCCTCATACCAAGCTAAAAAAAAAAAAAAAAACACAGAATGCATGAATTATTTTATAAATTTAAACATTTCATTTTAAAAAATTAACAAAATTATAAATCAGATAATAACATTTTTATTTGATATCATAGAAATCATTTCGCCGGTGAAAGCAAAATATAATCATCATTGTAGCTTTTTTCAATTAAATTACTTAAGTAACTTAAGAAGATGTTTAATAAATTTTCATTTTTAAAAAGTAATTTTCCACTTTAAAAATTGAAGGAAATTTTAAAATATTTATGGTTTTATTTATATGAAAAAAAGTACTCACCTTTCCAAAATATCCAGGATGGTATTTATCGAAATTAATTCTGTGGTGGTGCATACCTCCGGCATTACCGCGACCACCAGGATGCTTCCTGTGCTTTCCTGAAATTTAAGGTTATGTTGACATCAAATCGAATGATTGTTTTATATTAGAAAAACAATTTTCCATATATTTCCTTCTCTTTACGTTACTTTTAAAGAAAACCACCAAATTTTTAATAAACTACAAAAAATATTCAAACTCCGTAATAATAGATGACAATTTTTTGAGGTTACTTACCAATACGACCATGTCCATGACTGACATGTCCTCGAAGCTTCCTGGTCTTTTTCTTGTGTGTCGACTGTAAAAAAAAAAAAAAAGAAATATATATAAATACTATGCAATAACTAGCAATTTTTATAAATAATTATGTTTTTTTTTTCCTTTAAAATACAGAATACGGAGCGTGACAATATGATTATGATAAGCGTCAAAGTTATTTATATTTCAAAAAATATGAAAAAAACTATTTGAGAAATTAATAGAGAAAATATTATAAATTACATTAAATTTATTTTTATTGAGAAAAAATTGTAGATTGATTGGATTTTATTGGATTATTTAAAGAAACATTCAACATACAATTTACTCACCATTATGTGCTGTCGCGTGAAGAAACGAAAAGAGATGGGAATGCGCAATAATGAAAAGAAGTTACGCGATCGAAAGAACTCTAGTGAGAGAAATGTCAACTATATTTGAATTTCACTATTTTTGAATTTATTCTTTTTATTTTTAAAATAATATTTAAAATAAAAATTAAAATTATAAAAAGAATTTAATTTTAAAACAAAGAATTAAACTACAATGGAATTAAATTAAAGAATAATAAATTAACCATAAAGTGGTTAATTAACCACTGTAAAGTGCAAATTGTTGAAAAAAATTATAATAATAAAGTTAATAGTCTATTGCGCATGTTTTATGGCTTTAATTGGCGGTTGACATAGCACCGTTCGGATTTTCGTATGAGTATTTTAATATTATTTTCAATTTAATATAATAATTTCTAATCATGGGAAATTATTGATCAGGATTAATGATGTGAATATTGAGTAAGTGATACTTAATGAGTGACAGTTATTTAAACGTTCGTTTAAACGTAATTGATTTACAAACGGACAACCTAACCCTAAAATATTTGCATATTGCAACGACAACAACAAAGGTATGTAATAATTTATACCCTTTTGTAATTTATATTAACATTTTTAGAATAGGATTAAAATAATCATTTTCGAAATAAATTTTAAAAAAACGTGTATATGTTGTGCAAAAAAAAAAATTTCAAGATATTTTAATTAATATTCGCTTGCGCAGTTTCAAATTGGAAAAAATCCTCTTTTCTGTACTTGGTACACAATTCTATATTACTAAAATTATTTCTTTAATTTATATTAATTGAATGAAAAATTAATTTTTTTGTTTTAATATTTTATTTAAAAATCCACTTTTATTGCTTCTCATTCCATTAAAAAAAAAAAAATGTTTAACCTATTTTTTTTAATTTCATCATTTCTGACAGAAATGATTTTTCTCGGATTTGCAATATAAATTGCTCGTGCCGTTGTAGAGATGATATATCTTATATACGTTCTTCAGGGTTCAAAATGGGTTAACAAGTGACCAACTCAGTTTTACGACTCTTAAATAGCCGACAGAAAGTCTGTGGAAGATGCCATGCGATATAAAGACACGAATAGGGTTCGAGATAATAATAAAAAAAAAAAATAATAATAATAAAAATAACATTGCGGGAACAAGAAGAATGAACATGAACAAATAGAACTTCTAAAGTAGATCTCTACAAAATGAGAAAAAGAGAGAGAGAAAGAGACAGAGGTTAGCGATAATTGACCAAGAGCAATAAATTTACCTCATTTTTTTTTCCTTTTTTTTTTTTGACCCAACAAAAATAAAGAACTATTATTGGTATTAGGAGTAAAAATATTTTCAATATAAAATATATAAATTGGATTAAATTAAAGTGGATTTAATTGATTACAAAAAAGGTGAAAATAGAAAGTACAAATAATTGCATATTTGATTCAAATAATTATTTTATTGTTATATGAAAAAAGAAAAAATTACTGAATAGAAATAATTTTTATTTGAATCAATAAATTTTATTGGTACAATTATAATTTTGTAAAAAATAAATATTAAAATAAATGTTAAAATAAATTTTAAATTAAATATTAAAATAAATTTTTAAATAAATATTAAATTAAATATTAAATTAAATATTAAATTAAATATTAAAATAAATTTTAAAATAAATATTAAAATAAATATTAAATTAAATATTAAAATAAATATTAAAATTAATTTAAAAATAAATATGTTACACGCTCTGAGGAAAGGAACCTTAGAAGCAAACGAATTATAGGTTATGTTTACGGTAATTATACCTTGATTAAAAGTTTATTTTTACTTTTATAAAATTAAAATAATTTTTTATTAAATATTTTCGATTTAATAATGATTTATTATAAATTATTTCTATATTGAAAGTTAATTCTCTTTGTGTATTTTCAATTTAAAATTCCAAAACATAACCTATATTTTTTTTTGCTTCTAAGGTCCCTTCCTTCAGAGCGCGTCATATATTAAAACAAATATTAAAATTAATTTAAAAAGTAAATGTTAAAATTAATTAAAAAATATATATTAAAATTAATTTGAAAATAAATATTAAAATTAATTTAAAAATAAATATTAAAATGAATATTAACATAAATATTAATATAAATATTGAAATAAATATTTGAAACAAATAGATTCAGTTCGAATAAAAATTATATGGTTTAAATTATAAATATATTTTTTATTTTTTGAAAATAGTAAAATTATAATTTTTTTTTTTCATCAGTATGCAAAGAATTGAATTTTATATATTTTGTAACATATGTGACATTTTTCATCTTCCCTTTCTTCTAAATGGGTTAATGACCAGTTTCCTGCAAAAAAAAAAAAAAAAAAAAAAAAAAAAAAAAAAAAAAATTATTTCTCTTCGACTTGTTTACTGAAGCTTTTTTTAGCACGAAACAATTGGAGTTGCTGTATTATACAAACTAAGTTCGTTACGCACGTAATGAAAGCCGACACAATTAATCCCGCAGTCGAGTAGAAATGAGTAATAATTATATAAAGGAGTTCAAAACATAAAGGGTGTATGTTTTTTAGTGTTACAAGACTTCAAAATTTTGTTTCTCTATTATTTTTTTTCTCATATATATAATGTTGACATACTTTTTAAAATATAAAGCTTTTTTTATTAATTATTTAATTTCTTAAAACGTATATTTGAAATTAATAAATTCTATTTTCAAAATTTTTATCTATTTTCTTTTCAATTTGACTACAAAATAGAAAGAAATTGACATTATCGACCAAGTAAATTTTACGATCGATAAAAATCGATGAAACCTAACCTCAAAAAAAATGTAATATACATTCGATCTGTACACGCAGAGAAAAGATTTCTTTGACTTGTTTTCTTTGATTAAAAATAAAATTTTCTTTGAATGAAAGAAATTTGTGCATTAAATCAAAGAAATTCTAACATTATTGATATAGAGTGAAAGAAATATATTTATTTGAATTAAATAACAAATTTCTTTAAAACGAAGATAACTTTTTTTTTTTGAATCAAAGATAATTTGTTTGAAACAAATAAATTTTCTTTGAATCAAAGAAAAATTTGTAAAGAAATCTTTTTTCACGGTGTAGGTAATAATAGATTTGACTCGATCGGTAATGAATTTTTTTTTTTTTTTATCAAAAAAATTATTTTCTCTGCCATTATGAAGTTTGCTCTTTGGGAACAATATTGAAGAGTTGTTGTTTTTTTTTCTTTTTTTGGTTACAAGATTTGGAACAGGTCCAGAATGGAGGGTCAAAATAAGAACCAAGTTTGTTGCACCTGGGCATTGTTCTTCAAGCTGCGTGACCTTGACAAGGTCACGCGTTACACGCGCTAGTCTTTTCCTCCACAGCCTCCGGTATATACCCTTCACTCAACCATCGTGTCCTGCGACTCCCTTTTCTTTTCAATTCGTTAAATATATGTGCCAGCATTTTTGCAATGCCATATATATATATATATATATATATATATATATATATATATAGTTTCGTTTCATATTTCTCATTTAATTTTATTTGCTCACAAGGTAAAAGAAGTTTACCATTCTATTTAACCCGTTCGAAAGACTTTTGTAACTAGCTTGACAAAACTTAATTTAAAATCAATTATTAAATTATTTAATTCATTGATATTGTTTTTCAAATTTTCAGGGAATATAATTTATATTTTAGTTATTATTATTATTTCTGAAAATTAAATTATTTTAACGCAAAGTTGGAAATTTTGAAGTTTGCGTTAGCCGCGCGCATTAAGGCATTTATGTTAAGATTTTTAAGTCGTGCGTTCGAATCCTGGAGGCGAAATTTGATTTTTTTGTTTCAATTGGTTTAAATTTTGATTTTTTTTTCCCTGAATTTGCAAAATGAATTTATTTTTAATAATTGAAAAAATTATTATTAAAATCGACTTTGTATACAAAAAGCAAAGAAGGAGAAAAAAAAATAGAAAAAAAAGGGTGAAAAATATTTGTGTGACGGCCCTGAAATGATGAGGAAATGAAAGGGGTAAAAAAGAGAAAGAGAAGGAAGAGGCGGCACGAAGCTCTCCTCTCTTCTTCTCCTACTCCTCGTCGTCATCGTCATCGTCGTCACACAACAAGGATCAACCATCCTCGTCTCTCTTCTTTGCTTCTTGTTTTTTCGCATCGTGGGACCGGAATCGCAACTTGTGCGCTGCGCGTATATATGCATTTGATACTTCTCCTTTATTTATATATATATATATATATATATACAAAACGAAATTCTTTAAACTTTTCTAAAATTTTATTTAATGTTTTCTAAATTTTTTCTTAATGAGAAATTGAGATTTTTGTAATATAAGGAAATTTCAATTATGTCTGTATACAATATATAAATTTTTTTTTTTATTATTTCAATCAGTTCCCTTACGCCTACACATTCATAATTAAATTGCACAGGGGGCACATTCTTTCTATCGGCCTAGCGGTACTTTTTTTTCCCAGAACATATATTTATATGAAAATTGTTTTTTATCCGCCTTCTGATTTCCATTATTGCATAAAACTTAATTTAAATTTCATTTTACACACTAGATATACAGAAAATTAAAAGGCATTAAAATAAGCTGCAACGCTTATTATTTTAATCCAATTTTGCTTATTTTAATCCATTTTGGTATTAAAATAAGGAAAAATTGGATAAAAATAATAAGCGTTGCAGCTTATTTTAATGCCTTTTAATTTTATGTGTATGTATTAAAACAAAAATACGAGAATAGGGTCCTTATATGGTAAAATAAGTTTTAGGTTATGTTTAGTGTGATAGTTTTATTTTGATAAAAAGTTTTTATAATTAATTGTATCGAAAAAAGTTATCATATTCCCTGTAAAGTGTCACAATTCGGATGTTCCACTGATTATTTTACATTTAGGTTACGGTCACGGATCAGATATCTATAAGTAGGGTCGTCATGGTAACGTATGAGTGAGAGAAATAGGAATATTCTTTATTTCTCTCACTCCTATACGTTACCATGACGACCCTACTTAGGTACATAACTGAAGTGTGGACGTACCCTA